CCCTTCATCTTTAAAAATGGTTAAAACAACAAATGGAACTTGTATGTTCAAATTGACCCCAAAAATGCATTATATCTTTAAAAAAGCATTGTGATGAGAAGGAGAACGAGCAGCTTAGTTTTTTAGAAACATACTGTAGTATAGTTTTAGTATATTCATGTTGTATTTTACAAATCCATACCAATTATCCAACACTTGCTACTGCATAATGATTTTACTGCACTGCAAACCTCTTGTTTGTATGTTTAAAAAGAACAAAGAAGACAAAATGAACATATATGAAATATAATAATGTTCCCTTAAAAGTAAATACAGTGCAGAGAGGGAGCTGCTTTGGCAGAGGTTTGTGCTGTTTGAGTGCTTCTTGGCAAAACTGTTATTTAACCATCAAACCAGGCTGTTTATAAGGATTCACTTATATCAGCCTATGTGAAATGTGAATTATGTCATGAGCCAGATATAGTTGTATAAGTTGATTAAAAGTTTGTTTAAACAAAAAGAAAAAAATAAATAAAAGCTGTTTTTAATACAGTTTAAGTTTATTTTACAACATGACATAAAAAAAATGAAATTTTGATGTTGAGAATTAAAGATATATTGCTGTAAATGCATTTTTTTGTTTTTTAGCTTCTACGTGAATTCAACCATCACAATAATAATACAAAAGGAAAAAAAAGCAGAAACTGTCTTGCAGCATGTGGACATGCAGGACACGCGTACGTGTCTGGTGCTAGTCTACGTTGCCTAGCTTCATTACCTTGTCCTGTTTATTTTGCCATGCTGTGAAGACCACAAACACAACAAGGTTATGAGAAGGTCACGTGAACGTTGCATATGCTAAATTTAGCTCATATTTATAAGCTAATTTGTTCAGTAGACTTACTGCTTACGTGCTTTCTGAATATACCCAACCAGCTGAATCTGTACAGTTTAGGCTACTATAGTGTTAGCTGTCTGCTAGATTTCCCATCATTAGCCGTGAGCTCGGCTGTTGTCCCGTGCTCCTGCTCCCATGAGCCACCAGTCGATGGCCTCTTCAATTTTGCATGTGCTGAGAAAGGAGAGTAGTGCAGAAGAGTGTGTGTGCGTGCATGCGTGCGTGCGTGTGTCTAATTATGAGACAAGTACTCATATAGGGAAAGAATAGCTGGCTGATGGGAAGCGGTGAGCAGAGATGTTCCGATAAATAAGCGCTGGTTGTTCCCTGAACTTAATAATTAACACACATTAAAATCAGGGTTTAGAAATACATATTTCTTCATGTTTCATATTTGAGGTGTAGCACCTGTGCTCCAATAGCCAGAAGAAAAGGCTACACTTCTGAAGAAACTAGGTCCAAGAGTTTTGATACAGTCACAATCATAACTTGTAAAGACTTTAAAGGTTTGTTTTGTACATCTTCCTCGTTTTCCAGGAGCAGCTGTGCATACAGATATATGAAGTGCTGTATGAATAAAACGATGAAATAAAACAACATGCAAATAATTGAACTGTTATGTTACTTGATATTAAAATGTTAGGAGAGAAACAGTTATTTTCTCAGTGGCTACGGTACTTCTGATTCACTTCCTCACAAGTTATGTGTCAACCTAACTCACTAACAACAATCCAGTCAGAGGCTATGTTGAATTCCTCTGTAGTCTTTTCAAAGTAAAAGCTCTCAAGAGCATCGCACACTGTTTCATGCCATCTCGTTTTGGAAGAAATCAAAGTTCAGAGCTTGATGACCTCACACATGGTTATGGTCACAGTTAGAATAATAAAATCAGAAAGGTTATTGCAAGATAATGTAAAGTTTATCACATTTCTTCTTCATGTTTAAGTTGTAGGACAACCAGACAAAAAGCTGCTTCAGCTCAATGGGGGAAAAAATGCAAAACAAAGACAAAAACCTGAACTCAGAGGAGCCACAGCAATAAAGTTTAACGTTCACAGGAAGCAAAAATGAATGAATTTATTTAACAGTTTGATAGTACTTACAAAGTAATAAGTAAACCAGTGTCAAGCGGTATTTATGTCTCTAAAATTGCTCGTCTTTTAGTCGTGTTTAAATAAGAACACTTTTCCTACAGTTCACCCACATTTTAAGTTCCTGACTGTCTTTTCTCAATTTTCATTTTTATCTTAAAGCCAAGAAAGTCATC